TTTTATTAAATTGGAACTTTAAGGATAGCTCTGCCTTGGACTCTGATTTAATTCTGCATGATATTTGGAACGCTGACAGAATGATTGTAAGACTACCTGTACCTTCACAGTAGCCAGGTAAGAGAGGTACCCAACTAAAGAACAGAAAAGTGAAGAAACTAGGGCTATGGTGGTGTTGTGACAACCATTCCTCCTCGTTTGCAGTTACCTGTGAGGAGGTGAAGCCCAAACAGCACCGAGAGGTTAACTCACCTGAGCATCTCGGTAGGAGAGTAGGAAGTTCATGACAATGTCTAGGCTCAAGCACTCCACGCTGTCCAGGCGCTGTAGAATGCTGGTCAGTTCACGGCTCAGCTGTTCCCCATGGTACATTTCACGAGCCTTCCGGATGTCACTGCGGATCATCTCCCGGAAGTAGCCACTTGGGAAAGCACACATACAATACATGGGGCATTAATGCTTCCATCTTCTCCAGGGAGGTGAGTGGGTTTGCTCACTCTCATGTGACTCACCAGCATTCAAGAGCCATTTCCAGGATGAGCAAACACTAAATTTGAATCAACTGTAATTAAAGACATGTTTAATTAAATGCACACCTTTTTTCTCTCCCTAGCTTTACTTTCCAGATCAGTTCAGGTGTTGATCCATTGATTGCAACAGGAATTGACTGACCAGCTTGTCACCTCAGCCTGACATTGTAGGCTGAGAGACAGTGATTGGCTCAAAGTAACCAGTCGGCTTGCAAGTCATGCCTAAGGCGGGACTAGAACTCCTCCGTTTCCTGATGATTAGCCCAAAGTCACCCAACTGGCTTTCATGCCTAAAGTGGGATTAGAACTCACAGTCACTTAACCACTAAACCAGTGGTCACCAACTGGTGGTCCGTGGACCACTGGTGGCCTACAAGAAAATTTTGGTGGTCCGCAGAAAATTTCGCATTTTTTATATTGCACTAAATCATGGGTCCTCAAACCCTAACCCTGGGATGGATACATGCAATGAACATTTGTGTTGCTACAGAGAGTCTCCCTCTTCAGGGTCTTTTTATGTGGGGCAGAAGGGGCAGAAATTTCGACTTGCGGTCTGCTTCAGCCTCCTGGTGAGGGACTTCGGGTGAAGGCTGGAGGGAAGTGCCGCTGGTGGCAAAGAGCTGGAGAACCTCGTTCCAGTGGGACTGCATCATGGCCTGGAACTGGCTGACCATCTCAGCCCTCTGAGCCTCCAGGCGCCNGGCAGTTTGGCGGTTTGAATCCCTAGCGCCGTGTAACGGAGTGAGCTCCCATTACTTGTCTCATCTTCTGCCAACCTAGCAGTTCAAAAGCACGTAAAAAATGCAAGTAGAAAAATAGGAACCACCTTTGGTGGGAGGGTAACAGTGCTCCGTGCGCCTTCGGCACTTAATCATGCCGGCCACATGACTACAGAGATGTCTTCGGAGAGCGCTGGCTCTTTGGCTTTATAACAGAGATGAGCACTGCCCCCTAGAGTCGGGAACGACTAGCATGCATGTGCGAGGGCAACCTTTACCTTCAACATATTAGACATAATTAAGTATAGATCCTTCAGAATGCTTGGAAATAATCCAACCATTCTTTTTGGAATTCTTCCCAAAGTATTACACGGCAGTTGCTGTTATTCTTCACAAAGGGCAGAATTTTCATCCTGTGGAGTTTATCTTGGAAAAATAACTTATTACAGCCTTGGGTGGGGGAGAGGATCTGATATTTAATGACGTCTTGGTCAATGAACGGTTATTTTTATCTATTTAAGAGGCACACGGCTGTTTAAACGCAAACACTAGCAAACCGATCTGTATCCCGTACGTCAATTTTAAACAGAAGTAGCTTGGTAGTAGAGTGCTCAACCTGGGATTACTCATACCGAAAGCCGGCTGATAGAAATCAATGGAAACAGATTTGGTCCTGATTTGTTTCAGCTTCACTAATTTCAGTGGTTCGGCCTAAGTGTGGATCCAATCAATTATTAACCACACCAAGTTGAAAATTGGTCAGCAGCAACCGAAGAGCAGCCGCCAGCAATATATATATTTTTGCAAGCTCGCTCTGAGGATTTGCACATGTCCTTGAGTGCAACGGAATCTATTTGCGCTTCTGATTCCGAGATATGACGCTGTCTGTGCGTGGGGTGTGGGTATGTGTGTGTGTGTGCAATTCTTTCTAATTAAAAGAAGTGGGGACAATAAAAGACGCAGATAACATCACACCAAGCTGCAATTTGTAATTGCATGGCAACGTTGCAGCCACAGAAAGCATTGGTTAGCACAAAAGACGACAACACAAGACAACAGCAACGGAGACAATGCAGGTAGTCCTCAACTTATGACTGCATTGGTAGCCGAAATGGATGTTACTAAGCAAGAGAGTTCTTTAGTGAGCCTTGCCCCATTTTAACGACCTTTCTTGCCACAGTTGTTATGCGAATCATTGCCAGTTGTTCTGTTGGTGACCCGGTTGTTAAGTGAATCCGGCTTCCCCATTGACTTTGCTTGTCAGGAGGTGGCAAAAGGGGATCGCGTCACCCTGGGACACTGCAACCGTCATAAATATGAGTCAGTTGCCAAGTGTCTGAACTTTGATTGCATGACGGTAGGGATGCTGCAACAGTTGTAAATGTGGAAAACGGTCATACACCACATTTTTCAGTCCCGTTGTAACTTCAAATGTTCATTAAATGAATTGTTGTAATTGTTGAATTGTCTAGCCTCTTCCATTGCATACTACACTTCTGGGTTATCCAAGGCCTGTAAAAAAATCTGCCTATTAACTCAAAGGTGGTTTTTTTCAGGAGGCAACTGGACTTCCTTGTTTTTTCTTTTGAAGACGTTTCGCTTCTCATTCAAGAAGCTTCTTCAGTTCTGACTGGATGGCAGGGAATGGAAGGATTGATACTTCTTGCAGACAGCTGGTCATTTGCATCCTTTTAGAGAGCCATGTCAGGCCTGCATCCATCTTTACTTTTGGGTCTTTGGCCTGCCACACTTTCTATTATTCTGCTATGCATTTTCTATTG